GGCTATGGATCCACTCCCACTAGAAGCTTTTGACACACTTAGCCTTGAATAAATGTTCCCAGCTGTTAGTGGCTTCACATCTTAGTGGTGGGGCTGTATCAGATTTGACATTCACAGTTCACAATACCTCTTATTACAAAGAAATGTGTTTAGATATCTGAGGCTTTGCTTAATTACACATCTATGTCAGGCAAAACAATTAACTTTGCATGCACCTTGTAGTCCATCAAGCCCTACTAACCACTCTTACTCTGTGCTGGGTTCCAGTCTGGTCCTGGTGAGGACTCCAACCGGACCTTCCTACAGTCGGACCTCTACATCCATGTCGTCATCTACGACCACAACATCAGGACGGTCTGATCTTCAGAGGCTGCTGCCGACACATTCACACATATGGCACATATTGGAGAGTGCAGGAAGCCTCTAATTTGACCAAGTGGCTGCAGTTGCACCGTCATTTACAAACTGTTGCCCTCATATCATGCATGCCATCTGGGTGGAGGTGCTGCAGTGGAAAAATTGGCTTTTAACGTTGGATTCCAGATGGATAAGTGGATGGACTAGTGTGACAAGTTCACAAAATTCCTTAAAAATGTCAACTTATACTTCAGATTTTTTCCTCCCATTAAGTTTTATTACAATTGTATTATAGAGTTTTTTTGACTTCCTAATTCCCCTAAATGAAGACCCTTAGTTAATTTGGATTTCCCAAAGGAATGGAATATGCTTGCTCTGGGACCCCGGGGTCGTCCCGTCGTTTAGCCTGGCATGTTTTGGGCTGTTTGTCTAAACAAATTAAAGGCGTAAGAGCTTTGAAAGATGATGGGGGCGGCTTTTTATGTCCTCCCCCAGGCTGCGGTAGCTCCAATTGGACTGGAAGAATGGGTAATGGGCTTAAAGCATTCCGCATGTTCCAAGATGCAAGGCGCACTTTGCAGGACATCAAAGTGCCCTATCATTTACATATTAGTCATTCACTGAAGAGGACATTTCTTTAAATAACCCGCGTCAGGAAGTTATTTAGAAACTGTAGGCAACTTTGCTTCCTTTTAATTTCTTTTGTGCATTTATTATTGAAACATATGATATAATCTGCCCCCCTACAAGCTTACACATTACAGGACCTTTATTATTTATTCATAAATGACTATTTAGACGTGTAGTTGTGAGGTAACATTTGGTTCCGTAGTTACAAGGAAACCTGCAAAATGTAGTCCATATACATATCTTCACTTTAACTCCCCACACTTTCCCCATATTCTTTTAAATGCTCCTAAAACAAACTTAAAATATAGGTAATCCACAAAGTCCAGCATTGATGTACCTTAACAGAAATAAAGGTTCCTTATCATGTTATCTCGTTACAAAAAATAGACAAATACACGTCTTAAAAATAGTTTGACATGGTCTTTTGGAGTTGGATGGGGATAGCCCTTCTTCTGGTGGTAAATATGTAACTGCCAGAAGCTTAGTTAGCTTAGTTTAGTTAGCTTAGCTGAATTTAGCTTAGCATAAACACTGGAAATTGGGGAACAACTAGTCGTTCCAATGGTTTAAAAATCTGCCCACCATCAAATCTCAAGCTTGATTATATAAAGTGTTATATCTCATTTTTGTTTAATCAATACAAAAACCATAGCTGTTGTTTAACATGGGGGTTGTGTCACACTGTTTCATGGACTTCCTGGATTATCTATACATTTCCTGGCCATGATGTTTTTTTTAACTTTTGGACAGAGCCAGGCTAGCTGCTACGCCCTGCTTTCCATCTTTCCATTGCACTTATAGTCTCCTTTAGGTTAATATAACGCATAGACAAGAATCAAACCTTTCCTTTAAACTCAAGCCATATTCAACCAGCCGTGGTACTAATTTGAAGTTACGAGGTTTTAAACAAATGAGTAAATTCTAACAGAAACCTCTAATGTCCCTCAGCAACCCGGTTACCAGAGCAGCTGCATCTGTTTTGACTGAATTGGACCCTGTTGGCCATATGTGTGGTGTGGTGACACATGGATGTGGGTTCTGGTTCTGTAAAAGCAAGGGTTTGGGGGTCTGGTTTTGGGTTTTCTTCGTCAGTTCATTTTTTTTCTTTTTTTCTTAAAAAGGAGATGTTAAATCTCAGTCTGTTGTGGCATATTGATGAAATAAATGTGAATAAGTCTTCCAGAGTTTTAAATAGCAACTACCAATATTGGCGTTGGGCAGTTTCTTCCATCATTAAACATTGTCCTGAATGTGTTGTTATTGTTATATGTCTTTAAATATAGTGTAACATGAAGTATATAAAATAAAGAAATGTAGCTGTTCATGAAATAAAAAAGGCTCTGAAAAACAGGTTATAGTCTCAGCTTTTGTCTCAACAAAACTAACTGGACTAACAAGGATGAGAAGCATATTTACATTTGGCAAAGGATTGCTTTGGGGAATGTCATTTCCTCCTTGACCTCTTTGTCAAAGGCCAGATGATTTAACCTCGGGGCCAGGGCGGTCCACCTGTCACTATCTGCCCTGCTTTGTGTTTTGGTAACAAGAATTCAAACTGACCGGGTGGCAAATGAACATTTCACCCTCATCTACAGCTGTTTAGCTTTACAGACCACTGCTCCTTCATGTGGCTCGTCGATGGTGATGAAACAGCTCTCCCTCCTTTCAAAGTGGAATCAGTCGCTCAGAACACCTACCAATCAAAACAGCTCGTGACAAATGGGCGCTTTAAAAAGCTGGTGAAAATGCTATTTTTATATGTGCCGTACTTCTGTGCAAGACCTTAAAAACTCAAAAAAACTAGTTGCTGGAACTCAGCCAGACAAATCATGTGTCTCTAAATAGTAATGATTTCACAATAAAATCTAATTGAAATGCTTATATCCCTCTTCATTCATTTTATTGGGCTTTTAAGCAGTTGGGTTTTTACTGAAGCATGGTTTTTATTAGTTTGACCTGGACTTGCCCCTAATATACACAACATGAGGTAAAGAGGTGGATTCAAACTCAACTGGGCCTTAGATAGAAACACTGTTCTATCTTCTATATACATTTACAATTTCAGTTCCAAATTAATTTCAGGTAACTTCATGAAGTTTGGAATCTTGTTATAAAATGTTTCATCCTTATGTGTTTGACAATTACAATCGGCATTAATTACATATTAACCATTTCACTTCATTTTAGTTTCATGCTATTCTCATTTTCACATTTCTTTGAACGATTCATTGATTGGTTGTCAACTATTTCATTTACCGCCAAATTGAATGGGAATATACCAATATGTGTATGTGATTGAATGTACCTTTTATTCATATTATATTGACTTTTTATTTTCACCTGCAGTAAAATAAAAATACAACTAATAAAGAAAACAAAGATGAACTAACCGAAGTATATTCAGAAGCATGGGCATTATTATCTATGAATAATAATTAAAACTCACTTCATGTTTTTAATTGTGTTTTTTTACATGATCTCAAAAAGAGTGCACAATAGTTTTCCTGGAGTTTTAAAACGCATAATATCAATTGAAGCTACAAAAATGATTTATGTGAATGTTGATAAGCGTTTTTATTCAGTTTCTCCATGATAACACAAAACATCCAGACATACAGTATGCATCTCAAAAGTTTGAAGAGGCCTCCTGTTATAGGATAGGATCACTTTTAGTTTTAAAGGGGCCATATTGTGCTTTTTGGGGTTGTCTCTTGTGTTATTTAGGTTATTGTGCATGTAAATGGTCTGCAAAGGCTAAAATCCTAAAGTTCCCTCCAGAGGGAGTTTCTCTCCCACACTATGCCTGAAACGCCTCCATTGTAGTCCTTTTTACTTCAGTGACTATGTGTGCTTTTATTGGTTAGCGCTCCAACACAGTATGTGATATGCTATGGGGCGGGTCATTTCCAAAACATCTCTAAAAGGTTGACCAATCACAACAGATCCGGCCAGCTAACCAATCAGAGCAGACTGGGCTCTGGTTTCAGACAGAGGATGAAAAGAGGTGCTGCAGCACAGACAGTATGAGAAAAATAAAGAGCTTTTTTAGCATCAAAGCATGGAGACATGAGAGGCATAGAAAATACAAATATGAACCTGAAAATGAGCATAATAGGGCCTTAAGTGATGGGTGAAAAGATGATTAAAAATAACAATATGAGGCTTCAGTGTTCAGAATGTGACAAACCACATCGTCTCCTCAAGTGTTAATGTCTTACTTGTGCACAACATGTGAAATATATATATTGTTCTGAGTTGATCCAGTCTGATTTTCATTCTGCTGCTGTTCTTGTTTTTAACTGATTCTCTCCTGCCCATCTCCTGCTAGTTGAAGGGGTTAAACGCCCATATAGAGGACATGGCATGCTAATATTATTGCCATCAGATGTCCAAGGGCGGGGAAATACCCTAATCATTTCCTCCCGAGTGCCCCTGAAAGAGAAGCCCGTGGCGGGGGGTGAAGGGCGGCATGGTGTTTAAACCCCGCCTGGATGGGCTGTTTTGGAGGGGGACGGTGGGGAGAAGGGGAGGACAAAGTACAGCATCCGCATCGGACGGTGATGGTACAGGATGTGTGTGCTTAACTCCATTGAACTAAACTAAATAGGGGAGAGAGCCTTTAATGCCGACAATAAGCCGCTTCATTCAGCAGCGCGGCCCAGACGCACAGCTCTGCGGAGTAGAAATTACGCACGGAGCGGCTGCTCTGTGGCAGCCGTTCAGATATTCAAATGTATTCAATACATTGGCAGAATGTCACGTAATACAATATTTTAGAAGATCCGTCTCCAGTCAAAAAACAGCCTCCTTCAGCTCTTGATAACATTAGATATGTCCCCAGGCTGAATGTGCCTAACCCTGAACAGGAAACTCGTGTGTGTGTGTGTGTGTGTGTGTGTGTGTGTGTGTGTGTGTGTGTGTGTGTGTGTGTGTGTGTGTGTGTCAGAGTCAGAGAGAGAGAGAGAGAGAGAGGGAGAGAGGGAGAGAGGGAGAGAGAGAGGAATACCCAGCTGGTCCCACAAGTCCTATAATACCAAGCACAACATGTTTTACCTTCAATGAAAGCTGAGACGGGGGGACGGTTGACTGCTGCCCTGAAATCAGTTCATTGCTTGGGTGCAAAACCAAATGCGTCGCTTTTTTAGCAGCCTACTTCTGCCGCATCTGTTGCACCTTCTCCAGCGCTCCAATACTGTTATCATTGACTGACTTTAACAGCCCTGAGAGACAATTTGGATAACGCTCTCATTTTCCCACCTCCCTCTCTTGCTGTGCCTGGTGTCAAAGGTGATGGTATCATTTTCTAAGAGAGGACTCCTCAGGTGATGGTATGTTTTTCCGGAGGTAGAGACCACATTTGGAAACTTGCTAGACTTTCCACAAATAGTTATCTTTTCTGCTTCTACCTTCACTTTTGCTCGAGCATGGCTCTTTACTCTCGATTCGTGGTCGTGCTGCTCTACGGATGGAGTTATCTGTGCGTTGGATACTGCGCGATGCTGAAAACAGACAGTTTCTCAGACAAACGAAAGGTGGATTTTACGCATTCAGAGGATAAAAAGCACCCTGCGAAAGACGACCAGGATCTGCTTTTACAGGATACAATGACGGAACACATGCAGATGCTTTACGCGAAGTACAACCGGGCTGGATTTCCCTTCAAGGACGGCAACACTGTCCGCAGTTTCAAAGCGCAATGGGGTAGGTGCCCAAACTTTTACGCATGTTATCAACTCTGCCAGTCTAGAGGAGGCATGTATGCATTGTTGCGTAAATGTTGGTTAATATAAACTGGACCTGGTAGCATCTCCTGCATTGCTTAGTTGTAATTTTCCGCAAATTACAAGTGCAACGAGGTGTGTGGCCACAAAACGTATTCGCATACCAACAAATGCTTATTATCCTCATTAAGGTTTTTTAAATCCCCAAAACCTGAGCCATTGACGTCCTGGTGTACTGAGCTGAAACCGAGATACACCTGTTGATCCAGTCATGGAAATATGATCCACCTGTTACCCATTCCCTGGGCCAAAAGCAGAGAGATCTCTGTATGCAAAATCCTTTCCCGAAGCATTTTTTTTCTCAGATTTAAGTGTCAGATATTCCCAGCCAGCATCTGGCAGATGCCCAGCCTGCATGTGTTGCGTTAGAATCTGAGAGATTTCACCCCAGTGAGTCTCTGCATTTAAAGGGATTCTGATAGTTATTTTTTTCCCGGGAACTTTGGTAGTAACTTCAATCTTATAAGCTTTTGATTGCTTTACAGGCTACGGTGTGGAATTATCACTTGGACATGTGCACTATTTTCAGTTTCCACTACCAGTTTCAAAGTGTGTTGGACTATACTGCCTCCTATGGCTAGCTGTATGTCATGGTTTTAAAAGGGTCAGTTCACCTAAATTACAAATATATATCTATGCAGACAGTTTTGGTTTCATTTGCCAAGGTTGTAAAGTATTTTGAGAATTATGTTTCTATCCCACATTAATAGAGATTAATGGAGTTCTCTTTATGTTATAAACAAAAAAGGAAATATTTTATTTTTTCATTTATAAAGAGGTATAGGTCAACACCATCCTGTTACTCTGGATGATCTGCACACATAACTGTCAAAGTTGTTAAGTTAAAAAACTAAACTTGAAGAAGGGATAGCTTTTTGAATGTTTTGTAAAGTATTGGGGAGGGAGGGAGGGAGATAATGAAAACACAGATATTTTATAACCTGAGCAAATGAAACTTTATCTGTAAAATGTTAGACCATCAAAAAGTGAATTCAAACATATCATTATGTCAAACATTGTAAAAGGGAAAATAGGAAAGTTGGTTAGTTCTGATGTCCTGTACAACTGTGTTGCATTTTGTGATTAATATTATTCGTTATTTACACAGGTACGATAAACAACAAGCAGCTGCAGATTTTCAACCTCACCGCCCTCACCAAATCGGAAGACGTTTTGTCTGCCACTCTTCATTACTACATCGGAGACCTTCAGAACAGAACCCAGGGCTGCTCCAGGTCCAAAAGCTGTGGTCGCCATGGCCCCCGGAGGCACAACCACATCCACATGGTCATATGGAGCTTTGCCTCTGTGGATAACGAGATAAGGACTCTTGGACACTTCCGGATTAACGTGTCCACCCTCTACAGGGACTTCATATCCTGGCAGTGGAAGGACATAACTCGTGTGGTCAACCAGGCCAAACACCACGACGAGCTGCTCATAGGGATCGATGTGACTTCACAAGGGCCCCAGCAGTGGAAGAAGCTCCTGTCTGACCGCTCGCCCTACATCTTGGTTTACGCCAATGACTCTGCCATTTCAGAACCTGAAAGTGTGGTAGCCACCCTCCAGAGACACCACTCGGTGGGAGGAGAGGGCTCCATTTCCCAATTGGGACTGCGTGAGCGAAACACCACTGAACAAGAACAACCGCAGGCCAGAAACAAGCGCTCAGTGAATGTTCTGCTCCCGTTGCAGAACAATGAACTTCCCGGGCCCGAGTATCCGTACGAGACGACCGGGTGGGATGAGACGAGTCCGTACGAAACTTTTGAAAACAAGCAGGCCCGTCGCCCACGTAAAAAGACACGCAAGAACCAGCGGCACAAGATGCCTCTGCTTCAGTTCGACGAGCAAACGATTAAAAAGGCTCGAAAGAAGCAGTGGAACGAGCCTAGAAACTGTGCTCGGAGATACCTGAAAGTGGACTTTGCTGACATTGGATGGAGTGAATGGATTATATCACCAAAGTCGTTTGATGCCTACTACTGCTCAGGGTCTTGCCAGTTCCCCATGCCAAAGGTGAGACTTATAGTGCACTTCTGCTGTGGTTCCCAACCTAAGGGTCAGTAATGGGAAAACATACAAAGCATAAAAGCCACCCAAAATACATTTTATTTTTCCAGGTGTTCCAGGTGTTCATTCTTCTCTTTTAAATTACTGGATTATATTTAATATTGGTCAACAAATACAACAGGTTTACAAGTAAATAATGGTTGCCAAAAGGTTTGGAAACGCAGCACTACTGGTTTTAACTCTAAACACTTCCTCTAACAAGGTTCTGTTCCCTCTCAGCCAATAGAAGTAGTCCATTTTTATTTTTATATCAGATTCATGATCTGTATTGACAGCAAGTAAATACATATTGAGGCATTTTAGATGCAGTGCAGAAGACTACACGCATGCTTCTGTACTTTACATTTAACTCTTTTTTTCAGCCAGTATGGCACATGTGTTGTAAATGGAGCAGGCTATGTTGAGCTATCAGTACATTTGGCCATTAAGTATACAGCCCCTTTACTGTTGCTGCTTTGTATTATGTGCACTTGGATAACATTCATATCAGATGTCCCTGAAGCCTATCTGTCTTATATTATAGATGATCATGGCAAAGAAACGGAATGCCATCTGCTTTAATCTTCAACTCCCACGATAAATAGTTACAGCTTGTGCTTTTGTCTCTAGGAATTAAAGTCATTACGTCTATAAATGTATGTATCAGGGCTACATTTATACCATTGTGATATTAAAGTTAAGTCCAGAGCGTACTTAACTTTACTAAACATGCAGTATAAATGGTCGAATTACAGATAAGGCAATCTATATGGCGTTGGAACCAAAAGTTGGAAAAACTCAAATAGCTCAAATATCCAACTTCCTAAGAGCAGGTGGCTGACCTCGACATCATAATCATTGAAAGTTTAAAACAATGCTCGAGGAACGCAGACAAGATCCTTCTCTCAGACTGAAAAAACAACATAGTACAGTGTACACATTTAAACCTCATACAAAGAAGTGAAAGATACAAAAAACGAATGTTAAACATCAGCTCCCATCTTAGCTTGTGGCTCCGGTGACAAGATAACATCACAGGTATTTTAAACATGGCCGGAATGCACGAGATCCATCCACTTAATTCATTACCTCGGAGTCTCCGGCCTTTGTAGTCGGACGTAATTAGTCCCAGAAGTAGGGCATTAGGGCCTGAGGCCGGCCCCTCCCTCTCTTGTAGGTTTGCTGTATGTGATCCTGTGATGTTGTTTCTCTGCTGTCAACCAAAAGCTTTAGAAGCTGCTAAATAGCTACTATTAGAAGGTGAGCTGTCACTTATAGGATCCTGCTAAGACACGAAGCAGCTGATCAGGTGTGTGAACTGCTGGGGGTAGAGCCACACTAAGGGCCTGGGTCTTTGATCTACAGGCGGCTGCTTGTTGGATGCACTGAACAATATTCAGTTTAGTGTGCGTTATATGATTGATATGCAAACTTGTCAAATTAGCTCTGAATGGTAGTAAACACAAAGACCTTTGTAAGAGATACTGTCCAGGCCTCTTATAACTTTTATAACTAATAAGTTCTTATTAGCTCCGCCAAGGAGGTTTTTTTTTTTATCAATGGGATTATTGAAAAAGTACTGGCCCAATTTTAAACTTTGTGGAATAGTGTAGTTGGGCCAAGTAAAAAAACATTACATTTCAGAGGGACCCTGTGTCACAGGGCAGATACATGAAGTTTCACCTTTATTAACGTTGGGTTTAATTTGAACCTGTTGTACGAAGGCCCGATCTAGCCATCTTTTAATCGTTATATAACTCTGTTGTCATTAAAGTAATTGCTCAGATAATATCACAACAACACAGTCAGGGGAAGCACAAACTGGATCATTGGACTAAACCGTTTGATCAAGATTATCCAAACAAATGTGTTTGGACCTGAAATATCAGTAACAAGTTTGTCCTTTTACAACATGACAATGCATACACAACTATGGCAAGTACAGTGGTTCATAATTAAAACAGGACCTTTTGGATAGAATTTACCTTTTTTGTTCACTTCCGAAGACAGATGGTATATTTGGTAAAAGAGAATCCCTTTATTGAAATGTCCGTATATAATCAAAGAAAAATGTTTGCTTTCAAGTTATTAGTTTTGATCATGGAATTCAACCATACAACATAATGTGGCATCTTATTCACTTTTTTGTCCTTTTGCTTTAGGCTCTGAAGCCCTCTAACCATGCCACCATCCAGAGCATAGTGCGGGCGGTGGGCGTCGTCCCCGGCATCCCCGAGCCATGCTGTGTCCCAGAGAAGATGTCTTCTCTCAGCATCCTCTTCTTCGATGAAGACAAGAACGTGGTGCTGAAAGTGTACCCCAACATGACTGTAGATTCTTGTGCCTGTAGATAGTTTATTCCCCCCCCCCGCTTAAACGCCTGTTCATAAAAAAACTCAGCAAAGGAAAAAAATGCAGCCAAAACGACACACTCTCCTCCTGTTCCCTCAGTCTTACTTTCCTTCACTTCCAAACCCCCCTTTGAACCCAACTTCCGTTTTGCACTGGAGGAGAGTCGCGCCTGTTGTTCCAGGTGAAGAGGAGACTGTTGATGGGAAGGAATGGATCCTGTGAGTTGTCCTCGTGGTAGATAACTGGAATGGAAATTCAAATCTCCATGCTCCCATTTCACCACTTTATGTCTTTACCATCGCTGCTCAACTATCCGTCAGGCGATGAATGAATCACAAACTCAGTATCAAGCTATGCAAATGGTGATCGAGGCTTAATAGAGGCAAGAACTGAAGGAAAAGTCTATTTTCAGTTCAAACTGATGCCTCTGTTGTGGATCATTCTCATCTTTCTCTCCTTTACAGCTTGAAGTTGTCATTACCACCAAGTCTATGCTCGCACTTGCATGGTTTTTGTTACTATTTGTATCTATTTATGTCTGTACTATCACTGTGTTATTCACTATATGAGAAGTTATTGTATAATTATTGGCTTGGCTGCTATAGAGAGATATATTAGATTCCAAAGCCAGTGATGTAGACGGTACAGTAGATAGCCGTACATATTTGTGTTTAGCTCCGTTGTTGTACAGAACCCACATTTTTAAGAGTTTATTATATTCGGAAGTGTAAGCTACTTTCATTCGTGGTCTTTGTTAACAGTTGGAATTGGGGAGTTTTATTATTGGTTCGCCAAGAAAAGGTTTTACAAGCAAATTATTTTCAAAAATATAAAGGGATACAGTATATCAAAAGGATAAACATTGAACAAGGGATGTCATTGTGTGTTTTTCACAAGTGTAAAACCACAGGACTCAATGCTCAGAAAGAAGAGTTGTAAAATCTTGGCAGACATAAGGGATTAATAAAAAAAGGTACATTTGAATCTTAGACTATTTGTTGTTGGTATTCAGTTTAGAACAATATGCCAGTGCATTATTTTTAAAAAGTATTTACAGATTAGGATAACATTTATGAAAAAAACGTTCATAAACTACCAGAAACTACGTTTGCTGACCCATGCAAGCGCGCTACAACGGCCCTATACACTTACACTATTAGAAAACGAGCTGCACTTTCAAAAAATATACAAATAAAAAATCACAAATATGCCAAAAGACGTGCAAATGAATTTGTTGAGCTTCTTGCAGCGTTTTAATATATACAGCGTTAAGTCGGTGAAGATGTTTCTTCATTTGCATGTGTTTTAGCACATTTGTGTTTTTTTATATGCATAATATTTTGATCTTTCAGTGGATGGAAGTGTTTTGGGCCGTTATAACGCATCTGCACCCGTCGGCCACCGTAAGGATCCTTCTAGGAAAATCAATTTATAAATAAAAAAAGTCTGTATCAAGTCAATACACTCCGCTGAACTTAAGGCTCCTTATTTATGGCTTGGGGTTAGATTTTGACCAATAGTCATTGAAAATGTCACTTACAAGTTTGAGATATCATTGTTTTTTCTGCTACCAAAAAATTGAAGTGATCCTGTTTCTGCTAATTAAAAAGTAAAGATGACTATAAATACAAATGATGAGTAATACTTATAATATATTGAAAGATCAAGAAGATCTGATCTATATCTTTCTTGGTAGCATAAGCCTTTAATATTACTGTATGGAGCAGGTTTATATAAATCATTAAGGGGGGTCTTTTTCGATCACATGTACTTTGCTTCAGGTCAGCATTTGAAACGAAGAGCAGTTACTGTGTCATAATGTTGTGAATTATCATCAAAGTCCATAAAACCAAATATTTATTCAGAGCAAATAGACTGAAATATAGCAGCAAACCTTTTTTTCTATAGACTTGTACATTGTTTTTGTATATAGCTCACAATATGAGGATGATATTCCAATGTGTCTTTGAGATAGAAGTGCCTTTTGAATGGGTGGATTCCTGTTTTCAAAGAGTTTGATTTGATTCATGGCCTTTTCAGAGCTCAGTCTGTAATGACGCTGAAGTCAAAGCAAGCAGCCTGGAATAGTTATTTTTGATGGTACAGAATACAATGGGTGAACATAGTGCATATTCTTTTGAAAAGTATGAATTAGAATTTATTCCAAAATGTATTACAATAAATTCACTATTTTGATATTTCAGAGACATTTATTTTGTGTCAGGCAGATTTGTTAACCTTATATATTTTGTAATGATGCTTTTTCCAGTTTGTGCTTCTTCATCTTGTTCCAATACAGATTTTATCAAGGTGTGTTAGAATCAAATGGCTTCCACTGGTTGTGCCAGTATAACATTGCAGACTGCTGACAAGTCGTTTTCGGGGCCTTTCTTTTTACGTATTTGAACCCGTTTCTAAATCTCACTAATGTATTTTGGAGTACAAATATCGAAGACCCTTATATAACGTACATATCAGCAGTTTATAAAAGCTTGCTCACTGTTCAACACTATCTTGTAAATGTTATGCTGTAGGTAAAAAAATAAATGCTTGTACAATAAGCTTCATAAAATATATTTGTATATGGAAAAGACCTTTAACATGCATCTATTTATTTTCTGTATGTTGCATATCTTGTACAAGTGTGGCCTGGCCCAAGGCACAAACGCTCTGATATGTCGATGGTCTTTATATCTGTGATGGACATCTGTCACCAATAAAGTGTGGTGAACCGCTTTATAGGTCCCCCATCTGCGCTCTGACCATCCTTACAAAGCATTCAAAGACATGAATAAAAGTATGCAAGACTCAGATTTATCATCAATTTTTTATTTTGGTTTTCAAACATGATTTGGAAGGTAGTCGCACAAAACAATGCACAATTAAAAAATTAAAAAATTGTAGTTTATTTTTCACTCCTATTTTACCATTCTGCAATATTTCTCAATTCACTAGCAACATTAAGGAGCGTGCTCAATAATGGCCTTGGCTAGCCTTATACCATTGAATTGCTACCCAAAAACCTCATTTATTTTCAAAATAAAGTCAGACATGAGTTCCCCATATAGTGGTGCAGTGACATATCAAGACATCAACACCACTTTTAAGATTTTTGAAGCCTAAATGCATTCACCAGTATTAAAATGCTAACAATACTATCAAATAACTACATCAGGGTCACATGACTGCGTGTCACCAGCGCTAAACTAAAGGCTAACTCATGTTCTGATTGACAATGTTTTGTATTCTTATTTAGAAACTTGTTAGCATCCGCCATTTTTGGGACACAGAAGTTTTTTTTTTTTCATTTTCAAAAACAATTGAGAGGACGTGTTCGTCCACCACTTTAGTTTTGGCTGTTTCACCGGTTGTAGATTCAGAGCTTTGTGGGAAGGTTTCAAAATGTGTACATCATTTTTTGCTAAAGCTAGCACTGGAAATTACCATTAGAAAAAATGTATTGATGACATTAGGGCTGTACCGAACAGCTTTGAACCTTCACTTATTTGCGTTCGATATCCATATCAGCATGTTGATGTTGCAGGGATTTGTATTGTTTTTTAGTCAATTCATTGTGTTTGCGTCTTGTATTCCTGCAGATAAATATAAGCCTATACAATGGTTGCAGAACTAGATTCCAGTGGTGTCTGCGAGAGGATTGTTCACAACTCGTGTGATACAAAGTTTTCCAATAACTGTCAAGTGGAAATGTATTGAAAGATACTGTCTAACTAAATATTCTGCTTCAACCCATATTTGTTGGTTCTATCGCAAAGAAACCAAAATGTTTTATTATTTCTCTCGCACTCGAACCACACAAAGACTGACACGCACTGATTAGTTATTTCCATTAAATATTTATTTATTATTAACCGTGGTGTTTTAAGTGATAAGACATACGGAGCTTCATTCTAACACCCTAAATAGAACTTTCACATTATAAAAATGACATTCGGTTTGGCTATTGCAAAACAAAACATAACATAACTTTCTGCCAAACATACATTTGCTTACATTAACATGACGTCATGATTATTTAGGTGATCTGAATACAAATATAATTTGATTGTCAGGCCTTGAACTGCAACAATTATTAATGTCATTACAAACCTCTTTGTTTGACAAGTCAAAATGTCCTCAGTGAGAAAAGATCTGCAACTATTGGTATTACACTTAAAAAAAAAACGATAATCTGTTGTGGCATAAAATAACATTTAAATGACCACTTAAGACCAAAGAAAGTCAAATAAAAAAAACGAACTTAATCTGAAATATTAACAAACTTTCCTGAAGTAGGTTTTCATTATCTTAAGGCCACAGCTTACCCAGAAACGTCAGGCATCCATACAGACATTATAACACACTGTACATACTGTACACACACATTCACCAGTGAATGTATACATATATGCGATATTTACAAAACTCACTCACCCAGTTTTTACATAAAGGAACAAGTAGCTCGGATTGTATAAATTGTGTATTTTTTATGCTTGTGCTTTACAGTATACAGTATATACAAAGACACGTGGTACACAGTTGATTTACTGTAAGCCTCAATGTGTTGAAGGTTTACAGTAAATCAACTATACCCGTATTTTTAAGCTTAAACTCGAGTTTGACCTCTTTGCTGCTTCTCCTCACATCATCAACACTAAGAAGCTGGGAACCACAGAGTTGACTCAGCATTGAAAAAGGTAAATATTTCTTCAGGTCTGCCACTGGTTGCTCACACTCTATAACTTAAGTGGGAAAGGTGTTCATGTTTTTATGGGTTTCTAGTTTGGGCCGTGGAGAGACTGTGAGCATAACACTGTTGGAACAAGGAGCTCTTGTTGCTTCTTCGCACAAATGTTTCATCATGGGAAAGTAATTCCTTCTGCTTAGATGCTGTCTATGTATTTGAGTAGAATCTCTTATCCACAAAGTGTTTGTTCTCGAGCTGCTTGCCTTTTTTGCAGTGTCATCTGCACATATATCTCTTCCCCACACACCTACATTCCTCTCAAGCCATAAACAAACTGCATCTGTAATCACAAATTCACTCCGCTGTAAGAAATAAGAACTTCGCAAGCTGCATCACAGATTTCCCCTATACCACATCTGGAGAGAAATAAACTGAATCTGAAATCAATATATTTGAGGTATCTGAATAAGATTTTCCTATGGGCGTAGATTGATTAAGGAATGTGAAAACAAAATACTGTGCCGTGGTAGGCTACCATGATCTGTTCCAAGACGTACTCCTTCCAAATCAGTATGAGATGAAGCTAACGTAGCCTGCAGGCTAGCTTAGCAAAGCTAAAGCTGTAACCAATAACTCTGCGCACTTTGAAACTACAGCCAAGATAAAGCATATATGTTTCATATTTTAAAGGTCCCATGTCATGCTTTTCCGGTTATTACCCGACCCGTCCCCTTGTGTGTTATGAAGGTTGTTATGCATGTAAACGGTCTGCAGAGTCACAAACCCTCAAAGTACACCCTGTAGCGAGTAAAACTCTAACACACAGATAATACCTGTCTACACTGTTCGAAATGGGGGGGAGCAAGGGGGAGCTTGGCTCCCCTAAAGAGGGGGGGAGCTCCCCTGAAGGCCGACTTTTAGATAAATAGGGGGAGCCCAAAAAAAATTATGCATATTTGTGTCACACAGATTAGAAATGTTGAGTTTCTGTAAATAAAAGTTCTTGAAATAAATAATAGCCATTGTTCATTACAGTTTCTGAATATTTGTTTTAAATTTGTGAATATTTCTGGGTGTTGCCATCAGTACGTGGCTGCGCTGCATTCTTGATGACGGTGCAGTATTTGAAATGTTCATATTGATATTTTTTTAACTCTGGCTTTGTAATAAAAAATATGGCGAAACGAAAACAGCCAAGCCTCGCAGCTTTTGGATTCACAAGCAAAGAAGCGAAGGAGTCTCTAAAAATGACAACGTGAACGGAACAACTTTTAGTTGGCCGGCTGTAAGCGGTTGAGTTTGACAGCTCCACACCGAGGGAGAGGCCGGCCGTTGCGGAGCCGAGGCTTCAACAACGGCCACAGCCGCCGGCGCCACCTGCACTAGCGAACCTGACGATGCCCATGACCTGCCTTTTAACTGGACACAGAAAAGATGGAGTGAGTGGAATGAAAGGTATCCATGGCTTTTCATAAATAAATTAAAAATAGCAATGTTTTTATAGCAATTGATCGCATCCGCCCTGCTGCGCCAGTCAACAGAGCGTGCGTGTGACATATTACTGAAAAATAAGGCTCCCCCGAAAGCAAATGGGTAATTCGATTTAGGGTTGATCCACGCTATCGTCTAGTTGCCTCATTTAACTATGTGTTTTTTTGTTAGTTCGGATTGTCCTACGGGGAGGTCCCCCTTTGGAATTGAAGTTTACCCAGAAAAGCCCCTTTGGTCAAAAGGTAAATGACCTTCCTTAAGGGGGGTTTTGAACGCGCCCTTGATAGATTGGTAGGGAATTTGACCTTGCAAAAAGGGTTTGGCCCCGCAAAGGTCCCTTGGCCAAAAAAGGGTTGCCCTTTGGGTGGAAACAGAAGGAGGGGGACCACAAAGGAAGACCGGGACAGCAGAGACGAACATGTTGGAAATCCCCGACCCCGAAGACCGGGGAGTAAGGATTTTAAATGTAAATTAAAAATAGGGGCTGGACCGTTGGTACACAGGCGATCACGCCAATTCCACCACCAAACGATACGGGCCGCCCCCGGATTCGGTCATTGTTTCTCGAACAGACCCCTTTGGGACGCCTCTACAAATAAGGTACACCTTTTCCTTTTAAGTTTTTTAGAACTGGTAAATTTAAACACTTTATATTCCGCTTTTTCAGATTTTGGGCCCCTGCAACAGAAATGAATATCCCGGTTTCCCCGCTCATGGATTCCCGACGGGACCGCAAATCCGATCAATTTGGGTCTTTTTTTTTCTTTGGGCATTCAGGGGTTTTTTGATATTGAGACCAATAGCGGAAACGACGAGGTCCTAAATTTTGGTGTAAGAACCCCACCTGCTATAGTTTTCATAGAACCCCGTTGGAAATGGGAAAGTCACTCATGAAAAAAACCAAAGGGGAATTCCGGCTCTTTCAGGGAAAAAGGTCCCAGTTCCGAACCCCGGAAACAAGCGAGAAACCGGGGGTAACTCGAAACCGTGTCCCCCACGACGGGCCGACGTGCAAAAGCTGCGACCTTGACTTGAACCTTTGTTAAGTTAAAAGCCCACTAGGCAACCTTCACCCCGGTGCTTCGGGGAAGCAGTTTCTTGTCAAGTTAAAAATCGCCCGATTTTTTTTAACACCCTGTCTCTCCCCGGGCACACTGTGCACCGTTGTATAATTTTACCTATCGTTACACCCCCTTTTAAATTTTTGGGTAAACCGTTCTTAACGGTGTAATTTAACTAAGTTTATTGTCCCCCCTACCTTCCTACCGGCCCAAGTATTCCCCCCCTACCCCAAAACCCTGGAGTAAGACTTATTGATTTTCCCCCTTAACCGGGTAGGGGCGGGGGGGTAGGGGAGTTGGAGCCTGATTGGACACAAATTATAAGTAAAAGTTTTTCTCCCTTTGTTTGGCCTTCTGCTCTTCTTTCTTTTTGTCCCTGGTCGCCAAAAAAAGAAAGGTAAGGTTGAAGAGCGGTAACCTTTTTGTTATAAATAGCTTGTGCTCCGTTCCCGCTAGCCCCTCCATTTTGAACCCCCTCGATCCGCCGGGGAATCTGAAGCGTTGCGACACAAATTAGTAAATACAAAATGGAGGAGTTTAAGGGAAATGCCGAAAGAAGGTAACGTGAACCCGTAAGGGCGATTCCAACTTTTTGTCCGGTTAAGGTCAGCAATAAGGGAAAACAGCGCCCTTCGGAAGGCCACCACAAATAAGGGCTGGCGGGCTATAAGTTGTACCAACTCTTAGCCCGTTCCCTTTTTTGCCGCAAAGGGTCCCGCCCTCGTTCCTTTCTGGGCTGCCACCGCCGCGTGTGGTGAGGCTTATCCCGCATGGGATGTGAGTAGCAGGTCGGCTGAGGGTAATGACGGCTACAGCCCGGCCGCTTACAATAGACCAGATTCTGTGTCTCGTTCTCTCTGTTCGATTCCTGACCTTCAAATTCACAAGTCGACTCTACTCTAGGCCCGTGTTCGAACAAATAAAAAGATCTAAGTAATATCACACTCTGAAGGGACTAGATTGACAGTGTACAGTCACCTCAGTTAGAAAAAGTTGGTGTTTCGTAGTGAGATTTTGGTGTCCAACTTTTGAGTACTATCCAACAAGCGGTGTCATGACGCTAGGACCGTGACTGGGTGTGGTGAGGAAGTTATTTCTGCCATTCCCTCGAATGTCGACAATACTGAACACACCTGGAGAGGTCTTTAGTATCGTTGATAACAACGCGGTCGAGACGTTGACTCAGTCGGGAGTAACACAGGAGTAAAAATTACTTCCCCTGTCGTATGAATATAACGTATCACCGGAACAAATACAAGTTGTTCTGGGGACGAGACCGGAAGGGCTAAGCTGGTGTTTAATGTTCTAGACGCGTCGTCACACTTATCGAGTTCAGTGTACCAGTAAGGTGGTCAAATATGACCAAGGAATAAGAATGACAC